GAAGGTCTGCGCGTAAAACTTTGATAAATGTAGCGAGGGTTTTCGACTCTCTGGTAGCTGACGGTAAACTAGGGCACACCATGACTGTTACCTTTCCGAAACGTTAGAATGGAGCAAAAATGACATTTGGATGATGTTTATTCTTTCTTCTGATAACGGAGACTCTCTGCAGATGGCTAGCTAGTGTATAAGATACATATATGCTTTACGATAGTCCAAACGAGAGGTAACAAGTGAATGCACCAAAGTCTTGCATGCATATGCAGTTATAAATTGCCGGATAAAGCCGATGTTCCGGATCTGGTAGTAAACGTGACTTAACAATGCACTATCGAAGAATACCGCAAGGTTTACTTTTCGCAACTGAAACACCTCAATGTTTTAGCACCGATCTTTAGCTGGAGAGCCTGCGTCTGCTGATGTTTGGAGAATAAGACAAAGAGTTGTGCTTTTCTTGATTAAGCTTACGCATGATGGCATTCCTTAATGTATTGAGGTCTGTTAGACAAGCTTCCGGACATGCTAGTGTGGTGTCCTAGCTGTTGTAGAGTTGAAATAATAATAGCGAAGATAACGAAATTAACGAATCTCCATGAAGATATCTGTAGTTCTGACACGGGGCCCCCAGGAGCACCGAGATATAGAGTTTTGTCATCTTATGTAGCAGATTCTATGGCGCAACACTGTATTCGTTTACTCAAATATGACCAGATCCATCAAAGTAATACTGGCGTTTGAAAATATGTCATAGTCAGTTATGTTATATTCCGCGAACGAGTCATGCATGACAAAAACCTGTTCTGCACTTGTTTTCCAAAGCGGCAGCCATGTCATTACGGACCCGCAGAAGGACAGTCTTAGAAGAGTGTTCCGTGCGATAGGCCAATTGCATGTAGTTATGGAGACGTCTTGCATGGAAATGAACCTTAAGACGCTTAGACAATCTTAGATAACGTTAGATATGGTATTAGACTTTGATACCAAACAGTTTTTTCTTACTTCTTCTTCTCCATTTTAGGTATCTTTAATAGTGGTCCAACATTAACTTTCTTGAAACTCCAATGAGCCTTTGCTTCAGCCATTGTCTTGTTCGTGATTTAGGTATTCAAATGAAGCAGTGCTTGATGATATTTCTTCAGTAAACGTATGTAAACATATCCATCTCGCAGCGCTTTGATTGCGAATTGTAATGAAACTGTGCAACTTGCACTGAGGTGTATGTGCGAGCTTTGTCAACTGTTCACAATCGGATTGGATGTGTGAACCCGTGGAATTGGTGTCATTGTTCGCAGTAGACTTTCCTTCATAAATGTTTGTCAGAACAGGCTGATTTTCAAAACGAAGAAACTCACTTTTTACTACTTACATAAACCCATCTCCAGTTTGTTGACTCTGTGATCTATTTTGTCGTATGTTGACGCTGTGATATATTTTGTCGCTGTGTGTTGACGCTGTAATATAATTTGTCCTTGTGTGTTGATGCTGTTGTATATTTTGTGTGTTTGACGCTTTGGTATATTTTCTATTTTATTTTGCTGTCATTCGGTGAAATGCACCTGTAGCATAAAAATGCATTTTGAGTACTATTTTTGCACACTGATATACCAAATCGATTAGGTTATCAAAATTCTTCAGAACGGTTGTAGAAAACAAAGGTGACAAATTTCAAGTATCTGTACATAATTTAGTTAATGTCTTTAATATCAGAAACATATTGCAACGTGTGAACAACTTTAATCGTTCTGCGAAGTAATTGGTTTACAATACGACACAGACAAGGGATATTAACATCCAGTAGTATATATACTTCGTAGTAAGTAGACTTGGTGACGGTATCAGGAACACAGAGTACAATTGGCCTGTGTGGACGTGTTTCGCTGGTCTTACATTGCCTTCTTTCTTTCGAAGACATTATAATTAACACAAAACACATTTCTTAATTAACAGAATGGAGAAGACCGAGACGGGGTTTGCACGTGGTGCACGTGCTGCAAGGTGAAAGAACGACGCAAAAATGTGTTAACAAGATGTAGAAACGAAGGGACATGCACACGTGAGGACGAAGCATGCAGAGAGCGCTAATGTCGCGTGCGTATGTTTGTGTTGTAGTTAAGTTAGTGTTTATGTACTACGATACCATGTGTGGAGTGCTGGAGTAGTAACTACCAACGATACTCTAGCACGTGCTCTGGCACGTACTCCTGTCAACTTCGGCCTATTGATAGCATACTTATATTGGCCTCCCAAAGACAATCCGCTTGACGCGCAAAGCACGTGTAAAAGATCCCCATCTTTTGTTTTCTCTCCATCAATAAAACTATCAATGGATACTTCGGAATCTCGTTTGTAGCACTGTACTGACACACCAGAATTGCACAGATGATAATATCAATTTATGTACCCCACGTGCATCCTCACATCCCCTGGAAACTCACGCGGTTAACTTATACACGTCAGACGGCAGCATAAGTAGGTTACTAGTGGGTGTTCTCTTCTCATCACCAGCACGTGCAACTAGCAAAATACAGTTAATTTATAAATAAATACTTACGCATTCTATTTTCAACGGTAGTTTTTAATTAAAAAAGATACATATGTATACGTGGTTTATTTCAGATTTAGAGTATCACTAACAATGATATACTTACATATATTAGATGCATTGTTAAAAATTAACTAAATAATAATTCCGTTTCTTAGCCTTCCTCTGGCATTTTTCGGCAATGATTCCTAGATCACTGATAGCATGCTAACGTGTTTCTGTTTAAACTTTAAGCTGAATAGCGCACATGTACTTCCGCTTGGCAATTGGTCCCAAAGTAGCAGTGTCCATTGTTTTCGTTTGAATTTATTAGGTATGATGGTCAAGAGTATCTATACACAGAGAGAGAGCTATACTTAACATTAGTTATCATATCAGTTGTAATTTTCCAGGAGAAGATATAGGAGACAACATCACAATTTCTAGGTCAAGTGATGACCAAGGTCACCATGACGTTTTGGGTTAATATTTGTTGAAAGTCCTTTTCGTTTAAGCCTTTTAGAACTTCATACCTCAACAAAAGTATTAAAAGGATGATTCGCCAACATGATTGATTGGTGTCCATGTTGCGTAGACACTGACAATTCGCGCTCAATAAATGGCAATATCTTATTCTAAAAACCGTCGGCTGTCTCCCCTTGGTATCCCAATATGTTTTTGTCAGAAGCTTGTTACCCACTTAATATCCATATATTACACGTAAGTTTTCTTCATATGTTCACCGTCGGTTGTCTCCCTTCTATATATTAACCATTATGTTGTGTCCCTTCGGTATCAAAACGTATTAAATGTCCATTGCCTCACCTTGGTATCCCGGTGTACTAAATGTTAGTGGTCTTAGTTCTATGACCCGGCGTTAACACTATCGGTTGTTTCCAATCAGTATCCCTATTAATTGACGATTCGGTTATGTCCCCTTGATAACTCGAGGTTACCAATATCGGTTGCCTACCATCGGTATCCCTCTTTACTAATCCGTCGGTTGTATCCTTGAGTTACCAATATTGGCTGTCTCCCATCAGTAACCCTAAGAATTAACCATTTGGTTGTGGCTCCGGTGTTATCAGTATCGGTTGTCTATCATAGATATCTCTATTAACATTTTGGTGGTGTCCCCTGGGTATCATTATCGGTTGTCTCCCATCTGTATCCTTATATTTTAACTATTTGGTTGTGTCCCCTCAGTACTCCAGCATTACAAATATCGGTTGCCTCCCATCTGTATCCTTATATTTTAACCATTTGGTTGTATCCCTCGGTACTCGAGCATTACAAATATCGGTTGTCTCCCATTTGTATCACTATTAATTAACCATTTCGTTGTGTCCCCTTGGAACTCCAGCATTACAAATATCGGTTGTCTCCCATCTGTATCCTTATATTTTAACCATTTGGTTGTGTCCCTCGGTACTCGAGCATTACAAATATCGGTTGTCTCCCATTTGTATCACTATTAATTAACCATTTCGTTGTGTCCCCTCGGAACTCCAGCATTACAAATATCGGTTGTCTCCCATCTGTATCCCTATTAATTAACCAATTGGTTGTGTCCCCTCGGTACTCCAGCATTACAAATATCGGTTGTCTCCTATTTGCACCCTATTAATTAACCATTTGGTTGTGTCCCCTTAGTACACCAGCATTACAAATATCGGTTGTCTCCCATCTGTATCCCTATTAATTAACCAATTGGTTGTGTCCCTCGGTACACCAGCATCACAAACATCGGTTGTCTCCTATTTGCACCCTATTAATTAACCAATTGGTTGTGTCCCTCGGTACACCAGCATTACAAATGTCGGTTGTCTCCCATCTGTATCCCTATTAATTAACCATTTGGTTGTGTCCCCTCAGTACAAATATCGGTTGTCTCCCATCGGTTTCCCTGTTTATTTACAATTTGGTTTTGTTACCTAGTTATACCCTTGTTATCAATATTGGTGGTCTCCCCTCGATATCCCGGCGTTACCAAAAACAGTCGTCGTTAATCGGTATCCCTTTTAATTAACCATTTGGTTATGTCCTCTCGGTATCCCAGCGTTACCAATACCAGTTGTCCCCCATCTGTATCCCTATATATTAACCATTTGGTTATGTCCTCTAAGTATGCCAGCGTTTCAAATACCAGTTGTCTCCCATCTGTAGCCCTATTTATTAACCGCTTGGTTAAGTCCTCTCGATATACCCGAGTTACCAATACCAGTTGTCTCCCATCTGAATCCCTATTTATTAACAGTTTGGTTATGTCGTCTCGATATACCAGCGTTACTAATACCAGTTGTCTCCTATCTGTATCCCTATTAATTAACCAATTGGTTATGTCCTCTCGATATACCAGCGTTACCAATACCAGTTGTCTCCCATCCGACCTCAAAAATTACATTGTTCTGTCACATTAGTGTACATATATTCAAGAATGATATCCTTTAAACATATACAACAAACTAATTACTGTGTAGTTTTATTATTTATTTATCATAAACGTATATTAGATCTAGTCTAAATGTCGTTTTAAATTTTAGCTAATCAACTGTTTTCATATTAATTCTAAAAATGTTTTGACAAAGGCTCTTTGTAAATATTACATGTTTGGCTAGAAACGCAACAGAGAAAAAATAACTAAAAGTTGCTTCAACTTTAACAGTAAACCTTGAACATGATTCACATACTAGTAGCTGTAACAGTAAACCTTGAACATGATTCACATACTAGTAGTTGTAACAGTAAATCTTGAACATGCTTCACATACTAGTAGCTGTAACAGTAAATCTTGCAGTTGCAGTAGCACAGTTTGAACATGCTTCACATAGCTTTAACAGTAGACTATGAATATGGCTTTCAGGTGTTACAGTACAGCTTAAACATGCTTCAGATGATTTAACACAAACCTTTTCACAATTAATACTTTATAACATTGCTTGAGAGCAACTCGAAAAAGAAACCTTACAAAAGATAAATATCACCGATTTTAAATCTTATAACATGTTTTTCATTTATTTTAATCTTGAAAAAATAATGGATATTTCTATTATTTTCGTCTTCAGTTGATGTGTGTTATATCTATGGACTACGTAAGTAAATATATTTGTTGGCAAATGGCGTCTATTTAACTGTAAGTTTGACTATAGGTAAATATTTTCAACAGTAAACTACTTTTCATCTTAACATTAGAACATCTTTGCATTATAAAAACACATGTTCAACAAATTGTGGAGACAACTGTCCGTGTATAACAGCAAAAAATATAGGTGTTTGTGTAAAAATAAGGAGAGATTCCACTCGAAACACGAATACACTCTCAAAACAGAAATCCCAACGGCAACAATAATACTCTCAAAACAAAAAAATATATCAGCAACACTGACACTCTCCGAACAGAAGTCACAACGGCAACATAAAAAAATAATTTAACATAAATCAAAATCTTGGAAAACACATGCAACATAATGTTTAGTATACAACTGTTAAGTTGTTTCTATCGTTTCGTGATTAACTGAAAGTAATGGTAATAAGCGTTAAAAAATATCGTCGAGAGGAGTATCAAATCTTAACAGGATATATAAGCCAATGTTGGCTTCAAAAGAAAAAAGATGTAAATATGTAACGAATTATTTGTCAAAGAGCGACACCCACTAATTAGAAATTACAATTTTAAATCCATGACGTAACTATAAGAGGGCATTTTTCAGACGAGATTCACGTTAAGTTATGTTCCATAGCACTTACGCTTATATGTACGGCTCGTAAGATTTCATTTACTGTCTTGGATCGGATAAAAAAAGTAATTGCCGAGATATCAACCAAATTAAATAACATAATAACATTTCACAAATCAATTTATGAATTTATTAATTTTATATCATAGTTCATATATTCTAAAAATGTTAGAGTAGATATACGCGTTAAGTGGTTTTCATTTGGTATCAAGAATACACCGTTGTGAGTTGGCATTCATATTATCAACATTATTTACTATGAATGACAGATGGAAATCCTTTAATAATTGCACCATATGAAAAACGTTTAATACACAAAATTCAGGATACGCAATTTTGCACTTTGACAGATATGATTTAGTGACATGAAGGCGTTTATCAAATTTCAGAAACTCGTATACCCGTAATGACGTGAGTTATGTATAACCACTGTTGTAACGATTGCTGTAGAACAACACACAGTGGTATACAATAAGTAAACACCCACTGTTTCCACACTGATAGGGCTGACATAGCTCTTAATTAGGACAGAATGTCGACAATCGGCTCTTTATTTGGCAAGAGATTGTACTTCACAGTGAGACAGATGCTGTTTTAAACAGTTTGGAATAAAAATCGTGATAACTAACCCAAAATAAAAGTAATATCGACGGGTGGACGTTCCATTAAATAATACAACCGAGTATCAACCAAAATAATGCTAAGGCAATCGAAGCAATGATTATAGTCCTAAATGTACGGCAATGTCTCTGTTATTGCCTTGTTATATTGCAGTTGTCATACCAAAACCATTATAATGACAGGTTTCGCATCTTGCTTTTACTTTTTAGCCCGTAATACAGTTCAAAATTATCGATGCGACTAAAGGAAAATGTGCTAAAATCGAAACGCTGAAAATTGTACAACGCATCAAATTTATACATCGCTTTATATCAATTTCATGTATAACGTTTAAGTCACAGTCTACAAGCTACAAAATATCAGTTAACATAATTCTATTTTCTACAGTGGGTTCAAAAACAATCACTTCAAAATAAGACACAAATAATCTATGTTTATAATGGAATACATAGTGTACATATATATTACAAGATTTCAACAATATGAGCAATGTATTAATACTTTCAAGTTTAAAGCATAAATGTCTAAATCGGGTTCGTATGAACATATCCTGGAGAGATCAGCAGATATATATAAAAATTGATACAAAATACCACATTGTTTGCCGTGTTAAAAGGGTGGGTATTTGAAAGTAATTCCGATAACAATGCTGCGCATAGTTTATCAAAAGGTATATCACAGACTTACATTAAAGAGTGTCATCATACACAATGGTCAAAACACCAAATAAAACCCATCGGATACAAAACATTCACGAGAAGTTATATACTTGATCTAAACTATAAAACTGCCTATTATATAGCATTAACTGATAATTATCATCGGCTCAAAATACTTATTTAAATATCACAAAGCAAATAAACTCGATTGAAAGACAAAACAAAAGTCAAATAAAAATATCTAAATTTAAACTGTTTACCATATAACAGTATCTATATATCTCATAAATAACAGAAAGACGGGTTGCGACTTATAAGGCAATCGTGTCAAGTCACAGGAGACTAATGGAGCGACAGGAGCTGAATAAATAACATTTCAGTATATTGATTGCGTCAAAAGCCATATACTTTGTATTTTACACAGTATTACATTGTCCTCCAATTGAATATGTAATAAGTATCCAATAAATTACTTTAATAGATATTATATGAACAACTGGGAGATAATTTGAAACTGTGTTATAAGATATTCAGCTTCCCCTTCTCTTTACTGGACTTCAATTTCTTCACTATATAATATTTACTATCCTTCTGGTAAGTGTACTTTACCTAAATACAGTTATTGGTAGTTATACGCTTTTAAATAATACCCTTTGTCTGTGTCGTTGTCCACTAAGCATAAGAAATCCCGTTAGTTTTATAGCAACAATAAAGAATAAATAAACTTACAAACATTCGACAGAATTTCCACATAGAAATAACTTAGTACACAGTATATACATTAAAGTGATATGGGCTACGCTAGCTAATGGATATCGTTAACCTTGGTGACCGCCAACATCATTATCTACCTGTAATCATCACACCTGCACTCCTTTCAATTGCTTGGTATGTACAAATTATCATAAGGCCACATGTGCATCAACTTGTAAAGACAAACTTTTAAACGTTAAAGCTATAGGGTTTGAGCGAGACAAGCGTCCATTTTATTGGCAAGGGAACCCTTTCAGGAGTTCACAACGATTGAAAAATGATTGGGGAAAAAAATCAGAGAAACAACACAATTATAAGTTATAAAAATATAAGTACTTATAATGGTTTTTAGATTAAAAATATCTAGATTTAAGATACAGGGCAAATTACAAACCAATTTGCCTACCACAGTAAATTGTTTGAACTAAAAAATACATGGAACGTGAGAGAAGTTTTGGAGATGAAGCTCCCTACCGATAAGATATGACTAGATTAAATAGAAATGACTTGGGGGATACAGCCGTAAATATGCTCCTCAATAAGACAACTGGCAGCGGCGAGTATCTTCAAACTGTCAAAAATCAAACAAAAGTTTGTTGGATGCACGGAGCTACAGCCCCTTCCAGCAGCACAATATGTGTCTAATTCCAGAGTCCGGGAAGTTTATATTGGAGTGAATTCCTGTGCTGGTTGGCGTCCAATGCACGCAACTGGATTGTAATATACATACAGCCCGATAGAGGCGTACAGATAACCTTATCTTTATGTAGTTCTCCGCAGGTACGTCTCAAGTACCCTTTCTAAAGGAACGAATTCAAAATTAATAAACAAGTTTCATGTTTTCATTGATAAAAACTAAAATAAAACAAAGAATAGCATGCTAAAATCTTGTTTAAAGAGTTGTATACAAATATAATTTGATTGTTATAATGAAAATAACATCGTATGAAAGAAGCATTTTATACTACTGCTTATAATGATAGGATAAGACAGCAATGTATATAGGTCAGAATACAACATTGTTATAAATAAATATAATTAAACTTTGAATAAATAGTTAAAGTATTCTATGTACAGAGTGTGAAAAAATACTTTTTCGATATTTTATGAAAAATAATAGTCTGTACGGTCACCTTTTACACATGAAGTTGAGCAAACAAAATCAGAACAACATGTTCATTAATAACAGTGGTAAAATAGATATAATTCTGCATAAATATATATTCACAGACTTGTGTGATGGAATGTGATTTCATTAAAATTTGTGTAAACACTCAATAATTAACACAGAAATAAGGTCAATTTCACTGTGTGTAAAATAATCTTTAGAAGTACATGTAATTCTCACAAGTTGTCTGTGGACTGTTGTTAAGATAGTAAAATACGTTTCACCAATACCATAAAATGTACTTCGTCACTTACAGCAGTAAATAGTAAACTTCTTAGAGTGAAGCACACATCGTGATCCTAGCGTACTATTTCATAACCAACACAAAATTAGTATTTACAATGAAATGTGTGCAAGGGAAAGGATTGTGAGAAAGATACCACACCATATATTGTCTTTGGTAAACGCTTATCGGTCTTTATAACCGCCACACTTAAAACTTTAGACATCTAACTGAGCGCTTAATGGAGAGTTTTGTCGAGTGAATTCCTTTCATGAGAATGAATCAAACAAAGTCCCAGGACATTTTATTCTGATCCTAGCGATCTACAGACTTAAGACAAAATCTCTGTGTATATACAAAGCGCCTTATTTGAAGTAGTAAATAGCTGGACCAGGTGTGTATGAGTAAATCCTGGTTAGGGTCCCTGTATTGGCATTGATACTTTATCGCACCTCACATCAAAAGAATGGCGAACTACTGCAGAGGTACTATAGCCCTGAGCACAGCTACTCGGGGGAGATTTCGATCTGTTATTGAACACCTGTGTCGACTATGATCCGTGATCAGCTTTATACAATGGCGGCGCTGGTCCTGTCAGCCGTTGCCGGTGTACCCGCCACCGTTCTGTTTCCGACTGTCATACAAGTCCCAGACCCGGATAGTACCATCGTCACTGCAACTGACAATCCGATCATCGGATACCTACAACAACAATCCATTTACAAAAAGTCAATTTTATTTCAGCTTTCTAATCGTCAGTGGCAATTCGCAATACTAGACACTTAGTATCGGGTCGAATTTCGTCTAATTCATCATAAAACAAACAAGACTTTTGAAATAAGAAAAGGATTTGAAAAGGACTGAAAACTAACCGTTGAGAATTTAGAGCAAATTGTTTAACCCACGTTTACAATATTATAATAAATCATAAAGAAAAGTACAAAGCTGGCCATGACTTGAACGTTTTCTGAGAGACATGAAATGGGACGGGTTTGGTACGTTTGTTGTCGTGTGTTGGGTTTAAATCTATCAATCATCATGAAACCCTAGCCGCACCTGTTTCTGTAGGTACACGGCCAGTATTGTGTAGGGGGCACCTGAACACTGTTATAATCACAAACATGGCCACATTGTCCCCACCAGATGCAAGGCACCGAGGAATCAAACGGATTTAACACCTGAACATGATTATACCTTGACAACGGTGTCGGCCCGGCTAGAACCCAATATAATGTCAGCCTGTCTTACATCTTGTCATACAGCAATCAACAGGTGTTAGACTACAACATCCTCACCTATAGTCAACAGGTGTAACAACACCAAGCAGAATCGTTTGATATCTCCAAAGATTAAAACATAAAAACTGTACAAATCATCGAAATAGAAAATTGGTCCACACTAAAATGTTAAGCATCCTTTAGATAAAATCTGACTGAATACAAGCGTTTAACAAGCAACCAAGTACAAGCTGCCCTTCAGCCTTTCTGTTTAGGTTTGAAGCTGTAAATGACAGTCGGGTTGATAGAGGCATAGCAATACATGGGCAATGTTATCAGATTTTCATTAGTAAATATAGTCTAATTGGGTGTAGCAACTGAGGCTTCGATACCATCTGCACAGCACAAAGCTGCTGGGCCATTCCCACACTTGTCTCCTTAAGCCTGTCAAATACGTTTTTTCACAATAAAATCGTCTTGTCATCAGTTTTCATGGACTTTAGCAGCTGATATTTTTGTATGTACGGACGGAACTATTCTAGTGTTCGTGACTTGCTATATTCTACTTCTGCATTAATATACAATTAATCGAGATGATGTTTCATACAATAATTGACACTTAATGTTATCAACATAGAATGATCTTGAACCGTGTAATCGACAAAGATACGTACACGAAATAACGCAAAATTTTCGAAGACGTTACATTGAAACCTCAGTTCTGAAAGCAGGAAGGAAACAATCTTCTAAAAGGAATTTGTGTGCTTATTGTGTTTTAGTACATGCAAGTTTACTTCAAAGATAACAGAAAATAGTCTTTTCTACTTTGTTACACTTTGACATAAAAACAATTCGTTCAGTATATACAACGATCATTCTTAACTATATTGGTTTATCATGTATTTGAAACAATTGTTCTTGAATATCCGATGTCTTACGGCTATTATTCTTAACTTTGTGTATCCACAATGTCAATTGTCCTTCGCTTATTTATCTATTCTGTATTACGATAATTACTCTTAACGTTGTATAACTTGATATATATATATGTCTTCCGGCGAACGTTCAGTGACGAAAGGAGTCTGAGCGTGAGGTATCGGAGGAATGCACCGACGTGACATTTCAGAACCTTTAAAGTTGTCCGTCAATTGATTTATGACTCAATCGGAAATATTAATTGAGACATCATCTGATCAATTACCTCGTGTAACAGGTAATTCTCGTCATCCTTAAAGTTTAACCGGTGTTTTACAATGGATATCACCTGCATCTAGTCTGTAACCACAGAAAAGTAAATGACAGTAAGACAACCAGCAGGTATATAACAGGAATGAGAAGAATTTCTTTTAATAAATGTTAAAATGGTTAGAACGTGAATATAATTGTTTAAGTCTTTTGACTATTAATTTCATGAACAATTAGGCCTAAATTAGACTGTTTCAATAGTACTAAGGCCCGATTATCTATGTAATCAACCACGACTTCAAAACCATAATGACGGTTTGCAATGTCACCGTCGATTTGACAAGTATTCCTTAAGAATACCTGTTAAAGGTGAAAACAGTCACTCCCGTCCGAGTACACCTGTGTTTCCTTGCTAAGGTGATTGACAGCTCTATGTATGACATATAAAGAATGTTTCATTGCCTGCATTTATCAGCAGAGTTCAATAGTGTAAACAGTCCTGATCGACTCGATATACACATACAATAGCCAGAACAGGCCGGTGTCAAAGGCACCACGTGGAAGGTCACCATTTTGGCAGAGGTCAAATTTCACAACCATCCAAAAACATATACTTTACAAGAAGATAGGATCAGGAAAATTCTAGCCTGTCGTAAAAATCTTTAGCTCTACCAATTGTAACGCGTTCTTACACATGAAATATGTTATAGGCGGAAGGAAAATTAAGAGAATATGTTATTTTCTCTTTATCATATTGTGTAGTCTATACTTTCACTCATTTGTTAGTTAAACACACACTTTAAAGCACATTTAATGTGAAGACGCTACTGCAGCAAGAGAATGTTTCGTTTGAATTCAGTTATGTTAATTATTGCCGAACCTTAAAAAACCAACAGACTATGAAATATGTTAATTTGTTGCTATTTCAGGAGCAAACTATCTTAGAAATTGCTGTTTTATGAATGAACAATCTTAGAAATTCCACGTAATTTAAAAATATGTATATATTAGCTTTATTGATTTTGTTCAAAAACGAAAAATATAAATATCACCGCCACGTAAACACGATTGTAACAAACTCGAAGATGTTGAATTTGGAAACTGGAAAAAGGTTTCCAATGATTTTTAAATTAACTGGTTATTTGGATCCATGGACCCAGTTCAACAGCTCTCCGCATTGCTCCATTTACTTGTTAAACGTATATCATTTCTGATAGCTGTGTCTAGTTACCTATAAATTGCGTAGTCAACGTCTTCTACCCGATATATTTCAATCTAAGCTTGAGTTGACAGTGATGAACATGACTTTTATCTGAGGGGTGCTGGAGATGATTGTCATTTCGAAACATCTGGTTAAGGCTTTCATGTTGACTTTCCTTTAATTTCGGTGTTTATTCGGTCCTGTCGATGCCTTTTCAAATCAACATTTCGGATTTGTCATTGTACGTTATGTACGTCGTTGTTTTAGTTTATTTTTGCATTGCTTTTGATTTATTAGTGATAACAGAGAAACGCTGTAGTAATAGCAATGTGAAGTATGTTCGTTGGTAGCAACTTAAATATAATTTGATATAAGACCCTCGAATTACCAAAAGAGCATTTTTTCTGAGACAAGATATTAGAAAAGTGTAAATACTTGCAACTGATGTAAATACAAATGTTACAAACCGAGTAAATTGTGTACATAATTTCATTTATAATACAATTCTATATTTGTTTATGAAAGAAAAAAACACATTTTCCATGTATTTTATTATACCGTTTTATATTCTAATTGTTGTTCACCTCCAAATTCCATTTATTTCTAGATACAAATTTATTTATCATTTATTTTATTGCCAAACTCATAATTCCATACATGTTAGTGTACAACACCTGTTTCCATTTATTGTGCTATACAACTACATAGTCCATTAAAATGTTTATTGAAATCTATACATGAGTTCAATTTTGATATATTATACAACTTTATATACAACTCAATTTATATTCCTCATTTGTCAATGCAACTTAATATTTCATATATTAAAGAATTCTTAACATTTATTCAAATTTTAATAAAATTAAAAAATCTTTTATTAAAAAGTATATATTCCGTTTGCTATACAACTTGATATTCTATTTACGACTCTATACAATTTTATTCCCTCTACAATACAGCATAGTATTTCATTCATTATGTAACTTTATTCCATTTATTATACAACTATGCATTGATTACATTTATTGTACAACAATATATATATTGATGATTTACAGGTACGCGAGTTATATAATTCATTGGAAAAAAAAGTTTAAACCGTCGTAAAACTTCTCCTTATCATATCTTGCAGAAAAAAATAATTACTCAATTTGATTTCACCGAAATATACTTCGTGTTGTGTTTCACCTATATTTTAACTTAATCATGGAGTAAAGTTATCGACGAGGAGGTTCAAGTAGCGTGAACCTACCAGTCATAATTTAACAGCGGGGTATATAGATTATGATGTGGATGACTTATCGATATTTGTGTAGAGCACAGACACGATCAGAGATACACCATCGTACTAAAATATGTCTTAATTACAAGTGTCACGACAGTATTTGGAAGTGAACGATAATTTCGTACTTTTTTTGAGAGTGAAACTTGCATCACAGAGAGTATCATGTTAATAACCAAAAGCTTTGGAAGGACAAGAAAGTGTCAGCATTGCGGGGGCTATCATTTGTGTTACTGTTGAATGGGTATATACAAAACCCGAACCGAGACAGCAAACGTGTGGGCCGGAACTGGGGCAGTGAAGAACACAGGTTTTAACTTTCTTACACAAGATAATATCTTTATGTCTTATCTCTACATATAATTACAAATATGCGAGGTCTGTCAGAGATTAGGTAGATTGGGAGCAGTCAATGTTTAGTCCTGTTATTCTCTCGCTTGTCAATTGACTTCATATTAGAACAAGTATCTACTCGAGATCTCTCGCTCGTGTAGTGACAATCAGACTATTCCACTAGAAGTACGATTTCTCGTGTGCCAAGAGTTAGAGTCAAGGTGAACCATTCCTTGTCATAGATTCAATTAGTGTGGGTCTGAGAGAAGGCTATGCACCTGCTTAATGATTAACCAGCTTCTATGCTTGGCAAAACATATTTACTTAATTGACATGAACTTTTGCATAGGTAATCAGAATTAATCTATCAAAATATGTGCTGATGCATAAAGTAGTTAAGCCCCCTACGATAGATAGTACAGGTAAGTATGCAAACAACAGGTGTAACAAGGCATCCATTGCCCACATGTCTTGAAAACACTTT